TCACTGTGGGAAAAGTCACACCTTCTGAGCAGCTTCTGATGCCATGCAAATGAAGAGACCGTCCAGGAAACGCTTTCATCTGCACGGTCGCCTGTCCAGCCCCCAGCCCAGTAATTACCCACATGTCATTTGTTTGAGAGCAATTCCTGGGGAAAGCCACAGGGTGGGAGGGAGTCTAGGGGGTGATGGAATGTCAGGCTCTTTGCCTGTGATCCTGGCTACAAAGTGAGGTCTGCCTGGCTGGGCCAATGGTGGTCAGTGGCTAGGCCAAAGCTAAGCCTCAAGCCTCTGGGCTGGGAGTGTCCGAGTCTTCAGAGGTACTTGGTGGAAGTGGGGTGTGGTCACATCTGGGTAGGAGAGGTGTGCAGTAGAGAGAGAAGAGATGCCCTACAGGGGAGAGGCCAGAGAGGCGGGCAGGAGAGTGGGAATCTGCTGAGGCTGCCTGAGTAGACGCCCCCCCACCCCCCAGGCCAGGGACCCATGGGAGCCTGAGCAGTGAGCAGTAGGATGAAGCCGGGCAGGAGCACCCAGCAATTTGTTTATGTTTTGAGTTGCTGCCTCCACAGAGCCCTCACTAATGGGGTTTTACAGCCCACTCAAGCTGCAACTGGCCAAGAATCAATCATTACCGTACTTAGTGGTTTGATAGTTAACAGCCTGAACTGAAGCCAAACTGGTTGTTAACTGTGATAACAACTGATTTCAAGGGGTTATCGCCGGCCCAATGTGCTTAGCCACTTATTCTGGGGAAAACAAGCACGGAGCTGTGGCAAGGCCCAGAAAAGGGAGGAGGACCAAAAGGTAGACCACTCTGTCCCTGGGTCAGCCATAGCAAGGTTAGTTACTCGGGCTCTCTCCCTCCTGTCCTTACCAGGTCCCGCTTGGATTCTTCTTTCTCACTTGTCCATTTTCTTTAAAATGGCGTCTCATGGAACTTGGGCTGGCATCGGCTTCATTGTGCAGCCTCCCAGCCTTGAACTCCTGAGCCTCCTCCAAGTGCCTCTCAGACACTGTGTCTTTAGTGAGCTCTCAGGACATCAACACAGGGAGATGTCCAGCTCAGTGATCAGGCCTCTACTCAGCAGGCTGGGCTCGACCCTCGCTCGCTCATCCTCTCTCTCGGGATTCCCAGAGCCAAGCCAAGTCTAAATCAGAAACGTGCATTTCATTTCAAAGCCACCAAAGACCCAACCCAGGCCTTGGCTGGAAAGAATAAATAAACGAGCAAGTGCTGTCTTCTCCCATGGGTCCTGTCCACCCGTCCTGCTCTCTGTGACACCACACGGGCTTGAATGCCACTGTGCAAAGGACCTTAGGGCTCACTCTCTCCAGATGGACAACCCAGCTCAGCAGTCACATGGTGTCAAAGCTATAACATCTCCAGGTCGAGGCTGCCTCTTGAGAACTGTAGGTCTCACCCTAATACGGTTCATTCATTCAATAAATATTTACTGAGTGCCTATTATATGCCTAACTCTGCTCTGGGCAGATGAGATAGAGCAGGAAGTTAAAAACAAATAAATAAAAATAAAATCCCCATTGTTTTCTGCTCAGCTTCTAGAGGGAGGCAGGAGGAGGCACAGCTAACAGGACAGAGTGTATCAGACACAGCGTCAAAGACAGGAGTGAGTGTGAAGGGTGCCGGCTGGCGTAAACACTGTGATCAAAGAAGGCCTTGCTGAGAACTTCGTGTTTGAACAGACACCTGTTGGGGCAAGGCTCTCAGATGGGGGGGGGCACCCAGGTAGAGGAATAGCTATCTCAAAAACTAAAGGGGACTAGAGAAGAGAGCAGGGTGTCTGGAACAAAGGTTAGGGGAGGCCTCAGGACCTGATGCTGGAATATTAAATTGATAACCAGGTGATGGCAAGGCACCCAGTGGAGGGCAGATCATCCAGGGGCCACTTTGGCTTAGCCTTGTTGAGGTGAGGTGGCATCCCACTGTGAGCTTACAACAGCAACAGCTAAGCCATGTGAAGGCAGGGATGTGAAGGTAGGCAGGGACTTGAAGATTGCGGTGGCTGCGGTGTGTTAAGTAGAGACAGTGGGGGGCAGTAGAGACAGTGGGGGGCAAGGGAGACAGTTCCAAAGCGACAGAGAGATTGATAATAGTGGATTGGAGAGGTGAGAAGCGATTGGAATTTGGTGTGTGGGGGGGTTCTGTTGTTTTTTGTTTGGGGAGGGGCAGGTCTGCAGGGTCTGCAGGTGGGTTTGGCTATGGTTTGAGTAGGAAGAGAAGGCAGCTAGGGATGCCTGGAAGGCTTGAGCAACTAACTGGAGGTACTCAAGGCGGGGGTGCTGAGGTGGTTTGCTGAGAAGGTTCCAGGTGGGGGCCGGTTCTCAGGAAGGCTCCGGAGTTTGAGTTCGGACGTGTGAGGTTTGAGCTGACTCAGTATTCCAGAGGAAGGCGTGAGTGGAGAGAATCTTGAATCTGGAATTCCAGGGTGAGTCTCCTTCTTGTGCTATAACGGGAGTGCTGAACACACAGCAATGCTCCAAGCCAGGAGACAGGATGGAGTCCTAAGGGAGGGCAGGAGCTAAAAGAGCAAAGATCCATGCTGGAGTCTTAAGCCTCAGAGTGGAGGGGAGAGGGAACACAAAGATGGAGGAAGTGTAGCCTGAGAAGTGGTAGGAACCCTGGGAGACTGTACACACTGCTGAAGCAGGAGAAAGAGCCCTGTCAGAACCTAGAGCTTAAGTGTGGTCAAGAGTTTTATTGTCCATTAGCTTCCTCTACCCCTACCTACAAAATCCAGAGCCAGGAAGTGACCAAAACTAAGAACTGTTTCATCAGGAGCCTCCTGGACTCTTCCAGCAAACTGAGTTCTGCTTCACTCGTTGGGTCTTTCTGGCTTTGCTTCCAGAACATTCTCTTGTCCAGTCCATCCAATTGCTTGTCAGTTGCTACTACCCCACTCCAAGGCACCTCTACTTTTTTTTTCTTTCCTTTTTGAGACAGTGTCTCACCATGTCTGGTGATTCACTACATAGACCAAGCTAGTCTTGAACTCAGAGAGTGTCTGCCTCTCAAGTGCTGCGATTAAAGACATGTGCCACCAATATCTGGCCTCCACTTTATTTATTTATTTATTTATTTATTTATTTATTTATAGGCAGGGCCTCTCTCTGATCCTGGAGCTGCCCTTTTAGACAGACTAGCTGGTCACTGAGTTCCCAGAATCCACATTATTCTGCCACCACCCCCATCCTGACTGCCAGGGTTATGGGTGTGCACTCCTGGCTTTTGTATGGGTGCTGGGGATCTGAACTCTACTTAACAACTGTTTCTCCAGGCCTCCATTCTCTGTTCTTACGGAGCAGCAGTCTCTACACACAGCTGCTTTCTCTGGTCTCTCTTGTATCCCTACCATCCCTCAACTCTCAGTCACTGGAATTTCCAAAACCCAGATCGGATTGTGTTAGTCCCACCAAACCTACACTGGAAGTCCAGCCGGGGCCCACGGCCTGCAGTCTCCTGTGCACTCTGGCCTTGATCAGCCTCTCATCCTACAGCCTAAGCCACTTTGCCATCACCCACAGCATCCTGACCCTGCCTCTCCAGTCTCTCCCTAGCTTCTCACACAAGCCGAGTGGGTATTTGCCTGTCTGTGTACTTGCTGTCCTCCCAGCTGGGATTGCTTGTCTTCTGGGGTTATGAGATGGGTGGCTGTGTGGTAGAAAATTCTCTGCTTTCTTTGTTCCCTTGTGCAGTACTGAGATCCAGCCTAGGGCCTCACATATGCTGGGCAAGTCTTCTTTCTGCTTTTTATTTTACACATTTGTTGTTTTGTCTTTTGGAAATGGGAGTTTACGTACTGCGGCATGAGTATGAAGGTCATAGGACAGCTATTGGAAAAGAGTCTTACTAAGATGCCTAGGCTGGCCTTGAACTTGCTCAAGACCTAAGACCTTGAGTTTGAAATCCTTCTGCCTCAGCTCCCAAGTAGTGAGGTTTACAATCGTCCTAGTTTGCTCCTCCGTTGCTGTGATAAAACACTGACTAGAGGCAACTTGAGGTCGGAGGGGGTGTTTGTTTGGCTTACAGGCTCCGATCCATCACTGAGGGAAGGCAAGGGCCTAAGTCAGTTACCTGGAGGCAGAAACTGAAGCCAAGAGCCCAGAGGATGCTGCCCACAGGCTTGCTCCCGTGGCTTGCTCAGCTTGCTTTTCTATACAACTCCAGACCACCTGCCTAAGGGTGGCCCTGGCCACAGTGAAGTGGGCCTTCCACATCAATCAATCGCCAGTCAAGACAATCCCCCCAGACAGGCAGACAAGAGCAGTGTGACAGAGGCAATGCCTTAACCTTCTTCCCAGGTGACTTGAGTTTCTGTCAAGTTGATGACAGCTACCAAGCAACAGGCCTGGTACCACCAGGATCTGTCGTATTTTCTATGTTATCCTTCCCACTCTCTGGTATTTTCTTGATTTCTGTTTACACATTAGATTCTGTACCTTTTAGCTATCTAGCTGTACCTTCCCAATGAGCAAGAACCTTGGTGTAACTTGCTCATTGCTTAAGGCAATGTCAGGCACAGCATTGCTGACAGTGAGCGCTGACCACTTAGCAGAGGTGTCTTCTGTTGCCTATCTAAACTATGCTACCTACCTTTTTATTTACTTACTTATTACTTATTTGAGACAAGATTTATTTGAGACAAGGTTGGGCTGACTTAGAATTCACAACGTAGCCCAGGCTAGCCTTGAACTGTTGACACTCTTCCTACTTCCGTTTATTGAATGTTAGGATTATAGGTGTGAGCCACCCCGTACCCAGTTCACACCTCTACTGTTTAACTAGAGGAGACCACAAACCCATTTTCTGAAGGCACGATAAACGTTCCCTAAGCTTGGGCAAACGGAGATCAAAGCAGGGTCTGTTGGGCTGGAAATCTCAGAACCCCTCCAAATTCTGCTTCCTTGGTTGCATTGGGTTTCCATAGCAACCAAGGGGCTTCAGTAAAGATGGTGAATGGGGAATTAAAAGCCAGAGAGAGCAGAGAGGAGAGGAGGAGTGAGTGGTGGGGAGACAGATGGGGAGCTGGCAGGAACTCCAGGGGGATCCCCAAGTCCCACGTTATTCTGGAAGGTTGTGCCAAGAAGGTGCTTTTGGTTGCTCTCCTTCCCATCTGGGTCTCTCTGCACCCGAAGAAGTGACTGTCCATCTGGGCAGGCCCAGAACTGATCGCTTGTGAGCCCCCTCCCACTGGTTGGCAGATACTGAGCAAGGCCTGGACTTATCCCTCAGCAAGAAACAAGAGGAAGCCCTGGGATGATTCAGGAAACACTTGTTTGCCTGTCCTTGCTTGGCTGTCCATGGGAGGAGAGAAAAAGGATTGTCCAGGCACCATCCCCTGCTAAACATGGTCCTTTGTGTTGACATTTGGGGATCATGTCCTGGCTCCCCGTGGTTAAAGATCAGATGGCTCACACTTCTGACTGGAAGTGCTCAGAACAAGAGTCCAGGTGTGGTTGCTGCCTTGAGAGATGCAGGAGAAGCCTGAAGGAAACTCTTCTAGAGCAGCAACCTGCCTCTCCCTCAGGAACTAGCTGAGCCTGAAGCCTGAGGATGATAGAGCCGACAGCCTTCAGGGAGCCTGGGAGGATCCATGACACCCACTGGCAGCCTGGACACCTTGGTCCTGAGACCCAGGGCAACAGTGTGGAGAACAGGTCAGTGACTTTCAAGAGGAGGAATGTCCAGGGTCACCACCAAATTACATCTGTCCCTCTGCCTGAATGTACTTACAGAAGACTTCAGGGAAATGTCTGGGGCCTGAACCCAAGATAGAGCAGTCCCCTAAACGTCCATGGTCCCCAAATATCTCCACCGTTATGGACCCCACCTGATGTCCAGTCTCTGATTTAATAATTTCAATTTTTCCTTTCTTTCTTTTTTTTAAAAAATTTTTAGAAAGGGTCTCACTATGTAGCCCTAATTGGCCTAGAACTCTTTATGTATACCACTGGGCTCAAACCCACAGAGATTCACCTGCCTCTGCTCCCTGGGTGCTAGAGTTAAAGGCATGCGCTACACTCAGCCTTATCTATCTATCCATCTATCTATCTATCCATCTATCTATCTATCTATCTATCTATCTATCTATCTATCTAGTCTGTCTGTCATCTATTTACCACCTATCTATCTCTCATTCTCTTCCTTTCCAGTTCTGGAATGGACCACTTGACCTTGTGTCTGCCGGACAAAGGCTTCAGCCTCAACCATTTCAATCTGACAAACGCCATCAGATCCCACAAGATCTTTCTCCACAAAGAAGTCCTGTGTCCCATCCTAACCAATACCTGAGTTATACTGCACCCTTCCACCTGCCTCCTGCCCTGCCTCCTTTGTTTCTTCTACAGCCTTCCCCGGAGTCACTGCCTTCTCCACGGCGCCTAAGAGCAAGCCCATGAAACATTCATGGTGGGTAATCCACTGTGGAGGACCTCCTGATGGCTGTCCTGATAGATCAGGCAGGTCAGTGGAAGCTGGGCTGGGGCTCAGGTTCCAGCCACTTCCCTGAAACTGGTCCTGATCCTCCCAGGGGAAAGCTGGAGGCTCAGATCCTGAGCTGCCCAGAGGTTCCTGTGAAGGGATGTGATGTGCAGCCCAGGGAGGGAGAGTGGCCTCGTGGTTTCCCATAAGTGAGGTGTGCTTTGTCAGTTGAGGGTCTAAGAGCCAGGACACAAAATGAGCCAAATGATTCAAGCACCAAAAGGGCCCGGGTCTGTGCTGAGCGAGAGGAAGGGACAGAGCCTGAGTTTGTGCTATCTGAAATTTCTAAAGTGAATTTAGACTGGGGAGCCTGAGACAGCCTCAACCTTCCTAATGCTTCGAGCCTTTAATTCACTTCCTTGTGCTCTGGTGACCCCCAACCATAAAATTATTTTGTAGCTCCTGTAGCTGTAATTTTTCTAGTGTTATGAATTGTAGTGTAAATATCTGATATGCAGGATATTTGATATATGACCCCTGTGAAAGAGTCATCTGACTTCCAGAGGGCTTGCAAACCAAAGGTTGAGAACAGCTGGCCCGAGAGATAGGTCTGAGAGAAAGATCCTGGATCTGATTAGAACTGTCAGGATCAATGTTGGTGTGAGTAGGGTACGTGTCCAGCGTGTGCTTTAGAATGTCACTCCTTGGACCAGTGGCTTCTGTGGGGAGGGATTCTGAAGGAGGATCTGGGCCAGCTGAGTAAGGACTCTGAGTCCAGGCTTGCAAATTGATACCACTCAATAGGACAATAAGAAGCTGCATTGAGCCTCCAAGGAGACTGCTTTCTTGGGAAACAGTTCAGTAGCCCGAGGGCCTGAGGTCACCCAGAAGCTGGCAAAGATCAAAGGCAAGTTTCTATGTACCCACAATGCCTCGACTCTCTCTCAGCCTTGCATTTACTCAAGCAGGTGTGGCTGCCTAAGGCCTGGACCCTCAGCAGAAGCAAGAGGTGCAGATGTGGTGACTGTCCGTATGGAAGAAGTTCTTCCTGCTTGTTCTTAGGGACTGGGGTGTAAGCCCTTGCTCCTCTGTGTCAATCTTACAACTTCTCCCTCTGACTCTCAACAAGGCACAAGCAAGGTAGGGAGATTAAGTCTGAGTTGCCTGGAGTCAGAAAAAAATAGAGAGGAGAGAAACATCAAGGACAGAGATGTGGTATCCAGGGCTTCTTGTTTCCCTAAAGCCAAATGCCCACCGTTTCCCTTCCCGAGTGCCTTGAGTTAATGGAAGAACAGTGTATGGTCAGGCACCTGTAGTTGTCAAGAAACGTGATCTGGGTAGCTCATGTACCAGCACCAGGTCCCCTGCTTGTCTGAATCACCAGAGGGGTCACAGAGGAGACAGGAGCTAAGACTGAGTAGCTATGAGAGTCTAAGGGATGTCCATCTTTTCCTCCTTCCTTCCCTTTTCCATTTTTGGTTTGGTTTGTGGAGTCGGGGTCTTTGTAGGCCTGCAACTTACCGTGTAGCCCAAGATGGCCTCAAATTTGAGATCTTCTGTCTTCAGTTGCCTGAGGTTACATGTGTGGACTCTTATACGTTGACAACTTTCATCTTTTCTGTACAAGAAAAGGAGGGACTTCACTTGGGAGGCAGAGGCAGGTGGATTTCTGAGTTCGAGAGTTCGAGGCTAGCCTGGTCTACAGAGTGAGTTCCAGGACAGCCAGGGCTACACAGAGAAACCTTGTCTTGAAAAACCAAAAAAAAAAAAAAAAAAAGGAGGGACTTGGCTATGTTGTATGTCAGTCAGTGGAGTGGCGCCTAGAATGTGTGTGGCTCAGGCCTCAGTTCCCAGCATGCAGCTAGGCACGGTGACACATAGCTATCAATCCCACCACCTGGGAGGCGAAGGAGGGTGAATGAAAACTTGATGGTTATCCTTGTCTAGATAGTGACTCTGAGATCAGCCTGTGCCAATAAACCAGGATTGAAAAGAGAGAGGGGACTAGTGAGCCAGCTCAGCAGGTATAGGTGCTTGTCACCAAGCCTGACTCCCCGTGTTCAATTCCAGAGCCCACATGGTGAGAGAACTAATTCCTACAAGTTATCCTCGAACTTCTACATGTGCCATGGTGCACCTGTGCACATATTAAATAAATAAGTATAATTTTAAAAATTAAATGAGTTTTGTGGGTTTTTTTCCAGCAATAGAAACCCATCTCCCCACAGGAGGCAAACCTAGTTGGGAAAGGTATCTTGTAAAATAGTTGCTAATGTCTGCCTTGGCAGTGTAGAGATTCTTCCAGCGTCCTCAGCTGTGGCAAGCGAAGGCAAGACAGAGCCTTTCAGGGTTCTTCTGGGTATTCGGGAAATGATGACGAAGACCCTCCAGCGAGGCAGAGGCGGGTGGGTGGGTTCTGGGCTTGCCATTCAGGGGCATTCTTGGATCCCAAAGGAGAAGGCGCCTCCAGGATGACAAGCCAAACCCAGCTTTCCTCAGAGCACCTGGGCTAGCAGAAATGTTCCCAGAGCAGCCTCTGACTCTTCCTGTACTGACCACGAACACCTAAGTATTATCCCGACTAGAAACTTCCACTTGGAACAAAGCTCCCAGGAATGAAACCTGAGCTGCCAAGAAGAGGCTCCTTAGACTGGGAAGTGGCTGGAGAGGGAGAGAAATCTTGCACAGCGCTGGAAGCCTCAGAGAGGCCATGAAACCCTGAAGACAAACGACCAGGCAGTGGTGCCGCCCCTGCCTCCTGCAGAACCAAGGTCAGGGCCGAGACAGTGGGGAGGAAGGCTTGCTTCTAGGGGAGAGTAATTGGTACACCTGTGGCCACGGCCAATATCCCCCAGGAGGCCTTCAGGGTTGGCCTGCAGTCACTCAAGCTGTCCCCTCTCCTCCCTGATTCCCCCCCCCCATGCTTTCCAGCTGCTTCCACTTACTATAATGGGCTGCTGTGAGCCTGAAGGAAAGGGCCAGCCAGGAACTCAGGGTCCTGTGGTAGGCGATCAGGGAAGGGAGTCAAGATCAGACATCTAGACTCTCAGTTTACCAAATGCCCAACAAGTGCCAAGCACATGGCTCACGTCTGTGATCTAGACAACAGTCCCACCTCGTTTTACTGACAGGGAAACTGAGGCCCACAGATCATAGGGGATTTGCTATCACCCACAGGTGATAGAGCTAGCTAGCTGGGTAATGGCTTACTTAGCATCAAAGAGCAGGGCTTTCTGAGTATACAGGACTATGGCTCTTCTGCCATGTTGAACTCTAGAGCCCGAGAAAGGCCTGGTTGACATCAAGGTAAGGCCTTTCTCTCCTTTCAAACTGTGGTAACAGACAAAGGAACCCCAAAGTGTTCATTTCTTTACTCGGAACCTGTGGCCTTGTGAAAGTTATTTCACCCAATGAGGCTCAGTTTCCTTCTATGTAAAGTAGGGTTCACCATAGTATCTACCCACAGGTAGACTGCCATGTATAAAATTCTTACAACAGGGCTCAGCAGAGTCCACACGACATAAATGAACCCCAGGGAGAAAAACCTCCAGCGAACTGATTGGATCGGGCTCAACTCCCACCCTGGGTACAAAGACATTTCCTCATTATCTCTCCCAGCCCCCTCTCCGCCCTCCCACCCCCTATTTTTTGGAAAGGGGCTTACTATGTGGCTCCAGCTAGCCTCGAGCTCACTATAGCCTAGGCTGGCCTACACTCAGAGATCCATTTGTCTCTTCCTACTGAGTGCTGGAATTAAAAGTTGTATAGCATCACACCTAATACCATTTCTTCAATATCTTGAGGACTGGAGTGTGGCTGCTGGCATCAGTGGCTTGGGGCTTTGGTTACAGATCTCAGGGTACTTATCTTCAAGCCATATTTGGAGAATACTTTCCCCACAACTGTGTTTGAACCGGTGTCATAGAGGGCTGAGCAGCTGGACAACATCCAGCTTAGGGCCTGGCTCTAAGCAGGTATGTTTAACCCTTAGATGTTCCAATATGACACAGCATGTTTGAGAGTCATACAACACATACATTCAGGATATTAAAGTACGTTTGGGATTTTGAACTGGGCTGCAGGCATAGCTATCCTTGGCTGCCTGTGACCCACAAATCACAGAGTGGACACAGCTGACAGACTGTGGGGTCCATGAAGGACTGATCCCACCAACAGATACCACAGCCTGGGCTCTTCTTGTTCCTGGGATCTTGTGATCTAGGATGAGAAATGAAGTACCCTCGCTTTCCTTAGCCACAGTCTCATAGTCTACCAGTTATTACAGTCAAAAAGTACCAAGTGGAAACATTTCAGAAACAGATAATTCCCACATTTTATTTATTTTTAAGTTACTTTATTATTTGATGTGGATTGGTGTTCTGCCCACACATGTATCTGGGTACCACGTGCATGAAGTGCCTGTGGAGGCCAAAGGGTGTCAGATTCCCTGGAACTGGAGTTATGGATGGCTATGAGCCTCCATGTAGGCGCTGAGAATCAAATCTGGATCTTCAACACTCAGCCATCTCTCCAGCTCCAACTACTGAGTTTTAAAGTACACACAGTTTTGAGTAGCATGATAAAGCCTCATGCTGTCCTGCTCAGTCCTACCTAGAACAGGAATCACCTCTTTGTCTCGGTTATCAGCTCCACTGTTGTGTTATCACACAGATCTACTGTTGTGTTTGTGTCCAGGTGGCTTTCATGACACACTAATGGTCCCAGCACACAAAGAGAGTGGTGCTGGGAACTTCTCTAGATTGAAGGAAAGCCATGACATTCTCTCTGAGCAAAAGGTTAAAAGTTCATGGCTTAATAAAGACAGGAAGACAGTTTATGCTCATGTCTCTAAGACCTAGAAAAAGAGTAAATTGTCTATTTCCAAAATTATGATGGAAGGAACATCTCTGCTTCTTCAGCTGTTGCATCTCAAGCTGCAAAAGAGGCAATCAGTTGGATGAGCAAGATGGCTCCATAGGCGTTTGCTGCCGAGCTTGACAACCTGAGTTTCATCCCTGGGTCCCACACAGTGGGAGGCTATCACAGGCACCACTTAGCACCAGAGCGTCAGGTTGTTAAGATTCATTTGCTGTGGGTTGTGAACAATAAACGGATACATTGGAAAAAGGACACCTGCCTGTCTGCCTCTCTGTGACTCAGACATGTGGGCATTCCATTTACAGAGGAGGAAATCGGAGTTCAGCAAGGCTAACTAAGTGGTCAAACCAGAAGCCAGCACACCACACGGTAGCTAATAATGTCGAGCAAAATCTAATGGGAAAGTGACCCATGACAGGGTCACCATGATGCTAGGGAGGTTTTGGATAGGAGTGTTTCACCTAGTCAGAGAAAAGAAGCACGAATGGACAGAGCCTTCCCTGCTCACAGTCAGGAATTAGAGGCGAAATTCAGGTTTTTAGTCTGAGATCAACATTAGTTTTGAATGGCGGAGACAATGACCCTGACAGCTGCTATATTAGAGCAGAAATTCTAAAGTTTTGAGAGTCCTCCAGAACCTCCATGAAAATTCTGTGAATTCAAAGCACATTCCGAGGCTGGATAAGTCAGCCATTAAGAGCACTGCACCCAAGACCAGAGGACCCCAGTTTAATTCCCAGAGCTACAGGGGTGCTCACTACTGCTAACTCCCACTTCTTGGATCAGACGCCCTCTTCTGGCCTCTTCCTGAACTCGGCATACATATAAAATGATGTAAATAAAAACTGTGAAGATTTTTTTCAAGAAGAGGAAAGGAAACTGATTGTTCCCGAGGCTGGGGTCTCCTTCAGAGCTATTTCTCTAGTGAGGCTGGGACACTACTCTCTGTCCCCAAAGTAGGGCTCATGCCATAGGCATTGTACTCAAAGCAGCTAGAATCAAAACTTCCAAACAAAATCAAGAAAATCTATCGTCTGTTTGTCTATCTATTGTGTTCACATGCATGCCTCTATGTGTATGTGTGTGTGAGTGTGTCTGTATGTGTGTGTGTGTATACATATAGGCCAACTTACAGAATTGCTTCTCTCCTTCTGCTGCAGGTTCTAGGGTTGGCAGCAAAACTTCATCTTTACCTGCTGAGCCATCTTACTGTAGGTCTGACCTCCTTCCACTTCTGTGGAAGGTTCTAGTAATTCAGATATGCCCCACCCCCCTTCTTCCAGATACACCATGCTTTTCCATGTGTTTGCCTTTCCAGGCGCCTCTGCCTCAGTAAACTCCTGAGCTTTCTTCAAGCTCTCATTGTCTCCCAAGCAATCTTCTGTGTTCTGGAACATTCTTTCCTTGTAATAGCCACTTGTAATGCCTTACCTAGACCACAATTCTGCAAGCAGCCTTGGAGTTTAGTTAATGCTCCTAGGTTCTTCATGAATGAATAAAGTCCATCATGGAGGCCTTAGTGCTTGGTCTAGCACTGTGGGCTCAGTAAGAGGGTGACAACATGATCTCCGGAGAATTGATCACAGTCTTCACAGGTTTGGATTTGGAGGTAGTTTTGGAGAAGATGGTAGCAACAAACGCTACCATTGCCTTCTTTAAAATACAACTTGTGTGACATTTATTTGTGTGTGGGACATGTGTCACGGCACACAACTGAAAGTCAGAGGACTGCTTGCAGGTGTTGGTTCTCTCCTCTCCTCACGTGGGTCTCAGACTCCTTGTCAGGCTTGGTGGCAAGCACCTCACTCACTGAACCATCTCATGGACCTTAGCTACCTTTCTATAAGGGCTCACCGTCTGCTAGGAACTATGCTGAGCCCTTGGACATCTATCTCATTGAGCCTCTCACTACTACTACGGTTGTTATTACCCTCTTGGGGATATTTTCTCCCAAATAAGCCATTAGCTCCAGTTTGCAACTGAGGAAACAGGTTCAGAAAAGTGAACAGATTTTCTTCCTTCCAAAGCTGTACATCTGGGATTTAAATACACATCTGTTGGCTTGTCAAACCCAAGCTCTTAAGAATTATTTATTTTTTATGTGTATAGGTGTTTTGTCTATATATGTCTGTGCACCACGTGGGTGTCTGGTACTAGAGGAGGCCAGAAGAGGGTGTGGCTCTCCTGGAATTGGAGTTGCAAACAGCTGTGAGCTGCCTTGTGGAGGTTGGGTATCGAACTTGGACCATCTTCACTGCTGAGTCACCTCTCTGGCCTCCGATTCCTCCAAGTTTG